GTGACAGTTATCATTGGCGGCCTCGGTCCTCAATGGCGCGCAACAAAGGCCATTCTCCGGGCCCACGGAAGAATCTCCGAAGCAGCGCTCTGCGCCGAAATCCACGCCGAACAGCAAGACATGGACCTGCAAGAAGAACGACATAAAAGGAAGACATCAGCACCAGAATTCGCGTTCCACACTCAACGACGCTACAACAACAACAACAACAACAACCGGCAGCAACAGCCGAAGCCCGTACCTCCGTTCTGCCACATCTGCAAAACTTCAGGACATCCGCGCACACACTGCCCGAATCGACAACAATCAACAACGCCACAGCGACAGCTTCGACCTTCAAGCAATCAAGTCGCTTCAACACAAGCAAATCCTTCGACCCAGATTCAAGCCTCAATGACTTCAACGGGACAACCTGCACAAGGAGCAAGAAACATCGTCAGCTGCATGACAAGGCTGAGCGACTCTTGCATCACGGGATCACCACCATACTACTCACCAGAAGAACAACTTGATGAAAGAACTCCACACCGTGAGACACTGGAGCCGAATCCGACATACGCAGCTATCGCCCAGAGTGAACCATCCGGGAAGGACACGTGGTTCTTGGACAGTTGCTGCGGACAGCACATGTGTTCTTCAGGGCGCTTCGTGCAACGAGAATACCAACTTCAACGTGAAGTAGTCATCACCGTCGCCAACAATCAGAACCTGCGCACACGACGACAAGGAGTTGTTCAACTACAGTCACGAGAAACAAATGTCATCCTACAGATGTCCAAGGTCCTAATCGCAGAAGGCCTCGGCTACTACTAAGCGTTAGTCAGCTAATGGCGAAGGGGATTCACCTCGAAGCAGACAGCACCACCCAAGAATTCAAGTTGTATCACGGGAGAGGAGGGCTTTACATCGGCAAGGCGATCCTCAAGAACAACGTCTTCGTTCTTGACTTCGTTCCTGATCTCGGCACCGCCGACAGCGACGCCATCGTTAACTTCACCAACTGGACACACCCTCCAGACCTTGATCCAGACTTCAGTCCTGGCGGTTTCTGGTACTCACACACCATCCCTGAGACAGAAAGGACAAGAGCGTTAGCGACAATTCAACATGCAGCAGAGACAACATCGGCAGCAGCAGAGACAACGTCAGCAGCAGCAGAGACAACGTCGGCAGCAGCAGAGACAACGTCGGCAGCATCAGAGACAACATCGGCAGCAGCAGGAACATCAACGGGAACAGCAGGAACTTCAACACCAGTCGCTGGTCTTTCAACGGCACCACTCCTTGACGACACACCACCGACACCCGCGCAATAGCTCAACCCGACACGACGAGAAGTCCACCGAAGCGCGAACGTCACCGCCGGCTTCTACTCCAACTCCGACACGTACCGACGCTCGCCCGGACACCGCGCCGACGAAAGCACCTGGCACGCAAGGATGGGACACCCAAGCAACACAGTATTAAATAATACGATAAGAGCAGGAGTACTCGACAAGGACTCACTACTACTGACTGATGGAAGAGAACTTCAACGCGTACGTGGAACGTGTTTCACCTGCCCTGAAGCTGACTTACCACATCAACCGTTCGCGTCTCACCATAACCCAAGCGCACCAGCTTACGCGCCACTCGAGAAAGTGTACAGCGACATCCTGTACAATCGCGAACCGGGGCAGAACGCGTACAATTACACCATCACGTTCATCGACGCCGCGACACGTTACGTTTGGCACCTGAATCTTCCAAGCAAGGATATGGCGTTCGAAGCGTTCGTCGCCTGGCTCCCCGTAGCAGAAAGGGAATCGGGCGTCAAACTAAAAAGCTTCCAGTCAGACGGGGGAGGAGAATACACCTCACAAAAGTTCAAGCAGTACCTGGCAGAGAAAGGAATCAAGCGGCTCATTTCCCTTCCCTACGCCCATCAACAGCAGGGTGTAGCAGAGAGGATGAACAGGACCCTCCAGAACACCATGCGGAAATTGTTACGTGGCATGCGGCTACCCTCTCACCAATGGCCAGAAGCAATGGACCACGCCGTGATGCTGCACAACTTGCTTTCTTCGTCGTCACTACCGAACAACGCATCACCGCACCTGCTGTGGACCGGGAAATTGGGCAACACAAAATTGTTGAGAGTCTTCGGCTGCATGGTACAGTACCGACCCCCATCTGCACGAGCAGGACGATTCTCTCAGCGCGCACAGTGGGGACTACACCTGGGCATCGAAAAACACTACAACGCATGGAAGATTTTCGACGTCGCGACAAAAGAAATAGTGGCAGCACGTGATGTCATTTTCTACGAGCGGCTCACACTGCAGACGTACCTTGCCAACCTGGACGAAAACCGAGACCCCACAGGTGGCTTCCGAGGAGACCGAGCCTTCGCTTCGGCAGAAAACGAAGCTGACTGGGACGAGCAGAACGTGGAAGGAGCCTCGGAAGAAGCCGGACCCCTCCCCTACTGCTCCGTCAACGTACCAATGGACGACGAAAACCCACGCGAAAGCATCAACGCCGACGCCTACTACTATTTCGCTGACAACGGTTACGTTACACCTGCACAAGTCAACACCGACGAAGCAGAACGCGTCGGACCTAATTTCGCACCTGATCCAGAAGCGGGAGACGAAGCAGTTTATCCAGAGGATACTTCACTCCCTCGCTACACACAGAGTGGGCTCCAAATCCTTGGTCTCGTCACCGCAGTTCACAGCGCAGCCATTCCTAAAGAGCCTGCGACAGTTCAGCAGGCTCTGGGGGGGGAGCATAAGGAAAAATGGCGCGAAGCCATGGACAAGGAACTGAAGGCACTGGAGGAACGCAACACGTGGAAAGTAGTTCCCATCGGCGTAACAAGACCATTCTCACCGGAAAGTGGGTCTTCCGTGTGAAGACAAAAGCTGACGGCACCATCGACAAATTTAAGGCGCGCTGGGTCGTACGCGGTTTCGACCAAGAGCACGGACGCGACTTCACCGAAACCTTCGCTCCGGTCAGCCGCCACACCTCACTACGCATTCTCCTCGCAATCGCCGCCATGAAGAAGAAGAAGCTGCGGCAAATCGACGTCGCGAACGCGTTTCTCTACGCACCCGTTGACGCAGAAATTTTCGTGGAACTACCGCACGGTACCAACGGGGAGCCGAACCAGGTCTGTCAACTGCTGAAGTCACTCTACGGGATTAAGCAAGCTCCGCGGCTATGGCAGCAGTATCTGCACGCCCGCCTCATCCGCATCGGCTTCAAGCAATTACCTCACGATCAGGGGATGTACCGACTCACGAAAGGCGCAGACTACATCCTGCTAATCGTCTACGTAGACGATCTCCTCTACATCGGCTCAACTGACGGCATTACTACCTGGTTCGAAGGGGAGCTGCAGCAAGATCTCACGCTCACGGTCTCATCTACTGTCACTCAGTACCTCGGGCTCAACATCCGGGAAGAGGAAGATGCGATCTACCTCAGCGCGCGAAATACGCCGACACCATCGCCAAGCGCTTCATACTTACACCAACCGCCATCTCTACACCGTACCGCTACACGTCAGGCAACAACAAGGAAGGCCCCGTTCTACTCAAGCCCGCCGGCATACGCGACTACCAGAGAAAGCTGGGCTGCCTTCTCTTCGCAGCTGTTACCTGCCGACCAGACCTATCGTACTCTGCAAGCCAACTCGCAACCTATCTCAAGAGGCCCGAAGCGGAACACCTAGCGGATCTCGACCGCGCTCTTCACTACCTCGTTAGCACCCCAACGATCGGCCTAACCTACCACAAGAACGCAACCACACCGACTAAGTTAATCGGCTACGTCGACGCCGATCACGCTGGCGACTCCGACAACAGGCGTTCGCGCACCGGCTACGTCTACCGCCTCGAACCTATCGGACCTATCTCTTGGCAGTCGAGCAAGCAGGAATTAATCGCTCTCTCGTCAGCTGAAGCAGAATATATTGCACTCTGCTCAGCCACCAAGGAAGGACTTTACCTTCGCGAGCTGCTCGAAGAAGCGAAGTTAGCTGAGTTACCCAACTTCACCCTGTTCTGCGACAACCAGTCGGCAATTCGCATCGCCAACAAGAACGGCTTCGCGAACAGAACGAAACACATTGCCCTACGCTACTTCTTCGTGAAGGACGAAATCGAGAAGGGGAGACTCGAACTGTCATACTGCCCCACGACCGAGATGGCAGCTGACTACTTGACCAAGAAGCTCGGGAAGCAGAAGTTTGAGTACTGCATGCTGCTGACTGGACAGAGCCATGTCACCAGCAGCGACACTCCAGAAGCGAAGGGGAGTGTTGGAAACAATCAGTCTTAAGCGCCTCTGTCGTGTCGAAACACCAAGACACAAGCGAAGCAAAGCATATCGAGGCACCAGCGAGTCAACCCTCGGAGGTTGAAGTAACCGCTGGAGGTTACGCGAAAGTCAAAGGTCAGCGACCTTTGACCTGACAAGTACAGCGCGACAGCAAGGACACACAACTGACTCGCTACAGAGCAGTTGCCCGAGTCGTCACTGTATCGAACCGCAACAGCAACAGTAAAGTAGTTACAACCGTGTCTCTTCGTATCCCTTGTACTCTTATATAATCTTGTATCTCTTTGCTTTAATCAATCTACTTTGCCCTCACATACTAGCGCAAGGTGGTTCACAACTCTTTAATTAACGCTTCCGCTATTACAACAACTCTACCCAGAGTTCACCCCTGCAAAGATCCTAAGGGCTTTTTCAGCCCAACAATCTCAACATGTTACACTTTGAATCTGTAGTGGTAGGCTGTACTTCTGCATAAATCATATATATAAAAAGCCCCAAACACATTCACGAGTGCTGAATTTTCAGCGATTTTCGTCACCGTTTTTTTTTTTTTTTGTACTACCGTATGGCTGATGGATCAGCCAGCCTGGTCCAAAACGAATCTAGGGGCCTGGTCACAAGGGTACATTCCCCATTAAATCGACACATATAGGGTGGCAAAGTTGGACCTACTAATCACGACGGAGCACAAGGAGCGGCTGAACAACGTCGATCCCTTGAAACTCAATTCGGTACAGCTTTTCCAGGCTGTCGACCCCAAAAACGTCGAGCATGCGCCAGCCTGCGATGAGCAGCGGCATGCGGATGGGCCCGTATATGCGGTGGGTGTTGAACAACAGTGTGTCGTTGCCTGTTGGCACGCCCAGGAACAGCAGCCCTCCTGGCTTCAGCAGCCCCTTGATCTGTTGTGGAAGGCAGGGGTGGTATGGAACAAGGGTGTGCATGGTGTGAACCACCCACAAAGGAAGGGAATGGGAGGCAAACATTGACACGTGTGATATCCTGTCCTCCTTGCTGCACAGATGTACCAAACAAACCAATACAGCCCACCTCGTGCTGCCCCAGCCCACGCGGTGCTGGCCTCACTCACCTTCTTCATGCGCTCACCTTCTTCATGCGCTCACCTTTTTCATGCGTTCGAGGTCGCCGTTGGGGTTGATGGGGTCGCCGTAGCGGCCGAGCCCGTCATGTTCGAGGGAGGAGAAGGAGACGGCGACGTCCCACGTCTCGGTACTGCCCTCCAGCTCGCCCACCACCAGCTGCCGCAGCCGAGGGTGGGACGCCACGGGGCGGTTGAAGTCCACCGTCGTGATGGCGTGCGCATCGAACCCCAGGCAGATCGCCTCCACCCACGGCCACTGGCTGCCCACGATCAGCACGTTTTTCCCAGCCAGCGGGTACTTCTCAAACGCCGAGTAGAATGAAGCCGTCACGTTCGGCCCGTACGATCCAAAACCGGTGTCGCGGCGGCGGGCCATGGCGGCCTGTTGGTCGATGCCATTGGTGGACCACACATATGGCTTGGCCCCCGAGTCCTTTGCGTCCGCATCCACAAACCGGTTCTTCACCTGCCAGGGGCCGGGGAAGGGGTGATGCCACAGTGGTGCTATGCCGTGTGCTTATTGCTTCGTCATGGTGCATTCTGCATGTCATGCGCTAGTTAGGGCGCAATGGCTGGTCAACGCGCGCACGGACCTGCTCTGGGTTCCGCACCCCGTCTTTCCCCTCTCCGCTAACTGCCCTCCCTCACTGCCCTCACTTTCCCTCCGCTTTTTTTCCACCCGACCCAACCGTGTGTCCATGCCCTCTTCTTTCCCCCTGCCAGGCACGGGGGAATGATGTGATGGTCGCACCTGCACGCGGCCGTCCAGAGTGAACTGATCTTGAACACTCTTGCGGATCCACTTCCACGGCACGGGCCCGGGCAGCCCGAAGTTGCTGATCAGGAACCGCGATGCCTCATCGCTGCCTTGCGCGCCACTGGCCTTCTGCCCCGCGCCCAAGTCCTCTGGCGTGCAGCTCGCTGCACCGGTCGGTGTTGCCACGGCGGTGGGGTGGGAGGGAGGGCGCAGAAGAGGAATGTGAGAATGGGAAGGAGGAACGACGCTTCGCCCTCGAACAGATCGGGAGTGGTACGCCCGGTCACGAAATGTTGCGACACGGGTAACGCGGCAGTCGACGCGCGGCTTGAAGCGAGCGCGCAGCAAGAAAATCTGAGGCAGTGCGGCATGACGCAATTCGGTTAGCTACCACTGCGACGTTCTCGCTGGAGGCTCGCAACATGGACGGGTAGTAATGCGGGCGCATGGGCTGCCTCTCAGCAAGGTGAGATCTACTAGGACTTGGTGGGCGCGGAGGGAGCGGGGAAGCGGCGGCAGCTTACCCAAGTCTGGATTGGTGAAGCGGATGGTGACAGCAGCGGCGAAGAGCACGGCGGACGCCGCGAGGACGACGTAAGGCGCGGTTCTGGACCACGTCGCGAGCTTCATGCTCTCGCGGACTGATGGAGCCATCCCTGCCATCGCAAATCTGCTGAGCTGAGAAAATATCGATATCGATCATTTGTTTTCTGACAGGAGCCACGGTCTCAAGTAAGCTAAGGAGCCATCGACTGCAAAGCACTTGAAGCTAGGTAACCTAGTGCTGGCGAAGTTGTCTCTGGTTGGGTTGGAAACTCAGCTTGCGTCATTGCCCCAAAAGCAATTCCACAACACTTTTGGGGGCATTTTAGGTTTGGCTCCGAACCAAGTTTCCAAGCCTACACGGTTCGTTTACCATCAGCGATTTACGTTCGCTTCGCACCCCTCGCTCCACTGCGAACCTTACACCTCGCCAACCAATCAAAGCCACACTTTCACCATCAATTGCAAAGAACTTGTAGTACGTGAGACCCTGGCTTTAAAACCAGGGTCCCACGTAGATCATTTGTTTCGGCCAATATCATAGATACTCAAAGTATTCCCGAGCGGATTCTCAGGTGTAATCACCAACAGAAACACAGTTTCGCGGTATAGTAGTAGGTGTTTCTTGTTGTTTTCTGAATACAGTCACGACAGAAAATGCAAAACCTGAAAAAAAAAACTTGTAGCGAACCTAGATGAATTTCGAGACAGATCAACCTCAACTACGGGAAGCCGCCCACTTCAGGAAAAATATATTGCACCCTCTTGACCCAAAAAATAAAACCCAATCGAGAAGGGATGCGACTCGGGAGGCATCAACCCTAAAAACAATGCCCTTTACCATGTTTAGGGTTGATCCCTCCCGCAAATGCGTCCAGATTCTATAGGGGTTTAATTTTTCTGCCCTGTCGTAAATTTACGTACTTTACTTTAACAAATCCAAGTCGGGAGGGTAAACTAGATAGTTCTCTTTTTGTCACCTCCCTAACATTTCGACCAGCGTAAACAGTGTGACTAAACAGCGACAACCAATCAACGTCGAGAAAGTCCGGGTTGATTACACCTGAGAACCCGCTCGGGACTAATCTGAGTATGTATGAAGTTGGCCGCATTTGTTTTGCAGTTGATGGGAAACCCCCGTTTCCCATTGGTTGACGAGGTTGGAAAAACGAAAAGGGGTGCAGCCAGGGATGCGAAGGGAACTAAATCGTTTCCTGTGTTCCAAACCTTCTAGGTATGGAAACAGGTTCGGAGCCAAAGCTACAGTGCCAGTGAAATGTTTGTCGAGAGTGGCTATTGCTAGGATTTTTTCTAGCTCGGACGATCCGGGCCCCAGTGAAAAAGACCCTGTAAAATCCAAGCCAGCGAAAAAAAAAAAGCCTCGACAAATCCGGGATCGAGCTAGAAAAGGCCTGAAAACCTGCATTACCAGACTCTGGCGGGATGAGGGGAATGATCGAGAAACTCACAGTGGGTTATGGATGGGTGCTAGGGAGGTTGGAGATGGAGGGGCTCTAGAGGTGTGGGAGAGAGACTTGTTGTAGGACTTGGAGAATTGTCAGTGTAAGGAGAACGGGGCATTCAAACACTTGGAGGCCAAACGAAGAGCGAATGGTAAGGGAAGTCCACTGAAAGTGGCCCACTCGTAGTTCACGAGCAGAGGGAGGGTGCGAAGCAGATCAGGGAGAACAAGTGTCGCTAAAACTATCCGGGTCCCCTCGAAAACCTCCCGGAGCGATCCGAGTGTCCTCAAGAATCACCCTTCAGTTTTACGGGCTGGTCCGAAAATCACCTTGTGAAAATCAGGGTTTCTCCAAAAACGCCTTGTAATTTAAGTTAAAACAGGGTTATTTCCCTGATAACATAAGCCCTAGTATCAGGGTTATTTCCCTGATAACATCAGGGTTTTATGAAGGTCCGTAACTGTGTAGACCTTCTTGGGATCAAGATAGCAATGCTCTCCGCCATGGCTCCTAACAAGGTTTCCTCGCCATCAATGTCAACCTATCACGTATCAGTTCCAACATCTGAGAGCATATTCGGAGACTACATAGCAAGACCTTGCTATCGACTCCAAAATTGTGTTTATCAAGCGAGCACCGGATCGTCGTCGCAGCTCCTGCAGTCTTCCGTTGATCAGATCTCTAACTGCATACATGTTTCAGGACATCTAAAATGGCATCAGAAAATACGTTCAGATGCAAGCCAGGGTGTGAAGTACAAGTACAAGGAAGTTTCTCAACGGAACATCTTCAGATTATCGGCATTTTTCGTCATCCTACGTCGATTAAAACCAGGAGCTTCAAACTCGCCACGTCGAAAATTGACAACTAATAACTACAGATCTGGATCAGAATCAGTTTCCACACAAGCAAGGATTTTGACCTTAGCGGATAATGAAGAACTTCCTATCTTTTGGCTGGCTTCAGACCCAACTGACAAAGTCGATCATTTCTCCGTGTTTTCAAGTGACAAATTCTGGAAGCAGGCAGCGACGGTTGACGTTGGGAACATTATTATGAGTATAACGCCTAACATGGTGGACTCTATGGCAGAAAAGTTACAAGATAAGTCAATGTTGCTGGAGGAAACTGGACTACGGCGCTACGTTCCGACCATGGATGAGCCACGTCGAAAATCTCAGAAGAGAGCTGTATCGGCTTTAGCTGTTGCTGCATTTTTACATCAGACGGTCGAGGTAGTTCCTGTCACACCATTCAAGCAGCTGCCGCGAGTGATAGCAGCAACTTCGGTGAGACGCGTTCGCCCTGTTCGGCAGCAACATCGAACCAGGGCTGCATCTGTTGCAAGCCAACCTCACCAGTCCAGGCAAAGCAGGTTCGGAGGAGCCAACCCACCAAAGCTGAAGGGACACAACCAACATGAGGGGGGATGTTTCGAGATGTTTCTGCCAGTTCTAAAGTGTGACAACAGCACAACAAGATTTTGTGGCGAGCAAGTAGAAAAGTTTAGGCGTTTGGTTCATAAGCCTCCGTAGAAATCTGCGAGGGTACGGTAGTATACACTACCTAGGCCCTCTAGCTCCAGTTACGACCGCGGTGTTTTTGCATTCTACGTGTATAGTGCATATTTCACCTAGCCCTTCTTGGGCTATATATATATATATTTATTAAAAAAAGGCCCTAGTCTCGTGTACCTGAAATTTGTTTTGCAATTGGTTCTGAGGCAAAAGAGGGGGAGTACGCCAACTTCCCTAGCCAACCAGTCCACCTCGCCAGCAAAAACAAGGTAACTCAGTCTCAAATGTTTTGCAGTTGATGGCAGAATCTCTTACTTGAGAACCTGGTGCTACGCATCAAGCTGCATTTGGTAGCTTCGGTACCCTGACTTTATTGGCAGCAGCCTCAACACTCCAGTTCCGTGCAAACAATTCCACAGATCCCATCTCATCCCGATCCTGCCAACCCAAACTTCGGATGCTGCGCTGGAATGTCCAGCTCGTACGTTTATTGTCGAGGTGCAGAATGTGAGAATAGGCTAGAACGAGGAGCCATAGCTAAGGTTTACCTAGCTAGGCAAGAGAGAAATGAGCAAAGGAGTGTTTTGCACTAGCAAGCAGGTGGATACAAATAGGAAACCCTAAGGGGCTGTACTCGCTATAGAGTACCCCACTGCAGGCTAGACAAGCATTATATTCTGACACACCCCCATAGTCAAAGTGGGGTATAATCAGTACAGCATGCAGGCATAGAGCAAGAGTTCACAATAGTAAGCAAAGCTAGAGTTAATCACAGCGGGCAAGTGAGGAGGAGGAGGAACTGTGGAGGGAGAGAAGATGGGAGGCAACGACTGAAGCTGCAGAGGCACGGGCACAGGAGCGGCTGACTCAGTGGCTACCGAAGCAAGGGCGACGGACTACTGGAGTGACTGGCTCCGCGGCTATAGACGAGCGGCAGGAGCAACGGACCCACTGGCGACTGGTGCAACAGGCTCATTGGCTACCGAAGCAAGGGCGACGGACTACAGGCGCTGCAGGCGACACGACAGCTACCTTCACACAACCTCCTCCAACTGCCCCACACCCTCGACACACACCCCCTGCTCAAACCCTAGCTCCACTCCCACAGCACCCCCCTTAAACCCTAAACCCTAGGCTCCCACACACCCACCCCCCTCAGCGACAGCTGCAGCAGTGGGAGACGAGGGAGGAGGAGGAGCAAGGGGAGGAACACACAACCGCCACCCCCACACCCGGCACCAACACCCCAACCACCGCGAAAAGCATGGGGGGGGGGGGGTCGGGGGGGGACGGGACAGGCCGCGGGCTGCCGCAGGGGCGGCTCGCGTTGATCCTGGGGCGGCTGCTGCAGGCGCGGGCTGCTCCAGGGGCGGCTGCTGCAGGTGCGGGCTGCTCCAGGGGCGGCTGCTGCAGGTGAAAGGGAGGAGGGAGGGGGGAAAGAGGAGCGCGGCCCCCAGGGCGCCCCGACGGGCTACGGGAGGGGCCGCGCACGGGCCCACGTAGGTGGCTCGACGGGCAACGGGAGGGGCCGCGCACAGGCCCCCAAGGCACCGCGACGAGGCGACGGTTGGGGCCGGCGCGCGGGCTCCCAAAGCGCCGCGACGAGGCGACGGGAGGGGCCTGCGTGCGGGCCCCCAAGGCGCCGCGACGAAACGACGGGAGGGGCCGGCTCGCGGGCCCCCAAAGCGCCGCGACGAGGCGACGGGAGGGGCCTGCGTGCGGGCCCCCAAGGCGCCGCGACGAATCAGGAAACCGCCGCGCGCCTCGGGGCGCACGGCGGGCAGAAAACCGCCACGCGCCCCGAGCGCGTGGCGGGAAGAAAATCGAAGGTCGCGCGCCACGGGGCGCGCGACACACAGTAGGGCAGCGGAAGTAGGTGGGCCCACAGGCCAGGAGCATAACCGCTCTGATAGCATGTGAGAATAGGCTAGAACGAGGAGCCATAGCTAGGGTTTACCTAGCTAGGCAAGAGAGAAATGAGCAAAGGAGTGTTTTGCACTAGCAAGCAGGTGGATACAAATAGGAAACCCTAAGGGGCTGTACTCGCTATAGAGTACCCCACTGCAGGCTAGACAAGCATTATATTCTGACACAGAACGGTGAAGCG